GGAAAAAATTATACTACAGATGACATAATTATTTGTTATAAAAAGCCTTAAGAATACTGAAAAAAAACCATTAGAACTAGTACAAAAATTTTTTAAAGAATTATTTATCTCTATTTATTTGTTTATTTACTTATTTATTTTAATTTGACCAGAGAGGGACAGAGCAAGAGCAAGAGAAGGAGAGAGAAAGAGAAAACTAGAAAGCAAGCCACCAGGTCTGGGACTTGAACCATGGTTGGCCATGTGGGAGTCCAGTACCCTTAACCACCACACCACCTGCCAGCCCCACTAATAAGTAAATTTAACAAAGTCTCAGGAGGCCATATTAGTATCTAAAACTCATATTTTTATATATTAGTAAATGATTAGAAAATGAAATTTAAACAATACTTATAGTTGTCTCTTGGGATCCATGGGGAATTGGTTCTAGGACTCCCCGCCTCCTGCCAGGCATACCAAAAGCATCCCTGGGTCCTCAAATTCTTTATATAAAATGGTATAGTATTTGCTTCCAAACTGTGAACATCCCCCATATACTTTAACTCATCCCTAGATTACTTAAAATATCTAATACAGTATAAATGCTATGAAAGTAGTTGTTAATACTGCATTTTTTAAATTGGTATCACTTTTTTTTCCTGAATATTTTTGATCTGCTATTGGTTGACTCTATGGATCCAGAACCTGTGAAAATGGAGGACCAACTGTACAATACCATATAACACTTAGGAATAAATTTAACCGGTGATATAGACATTAAAGACTACAAAACCTTGCAAAGAGAAATTAAAGAAGGCCTAAATAAATAGACTGATATGCCACATTCATCATTGAATCAGTATTATTGAGATTCTGCCAAGATTGATGCATAGGTATAATGCAGTAACAATTATAATCCTACTAGGCTTTTTTTTTTTTTTAAGAAACTGATTTTGAAATTCATAGTGGATATACAAAAGATCTAGAATATCCAAAATAATCTTGAGAAAGAGCAAGGTTGGAAGTCTTAGGCTAAGCAATATCAGGACTTAATATAAAGCTACAGTAATCGCACAGTACTGGGATAGGAATTTGGAAATAGATCATTGGAACAGAATATAGACTTTCATCCACAGTCAGTTGCTTTAGACAGTAGCATCAAAGCAACCAATAGAGCTGAAACAACTGTATATCCATGTGGACAAAAACACAAATTTTGATCTCTACATGATATCATACATAAAAATTTGAGGTATGTCACACACCTAAGTGTAAATAAGTTTAAACTATAAAGCTTCCTGAACAAAACCCAGTATCTTTGCAACTTAGGTATAGATAATGGTTTTTATAGGACTTTGAAGCAATAAAAAGAAAAAAAAAACAATTGATAAATTAGCCTTCATTAAAATTCAACACTCTGCTCATCAAGAGACACAATTACAAAAATAGAAAGGCAACACACAGGAAAAAAATGCAAAATAGTTACCTTCTAAAAGACTGGTATCCAGAATACATAAGAATGCCTGCAACATATTAGTAAAAAAATAACCCATAAAAAAGGACAAAATATCTGAGCAGACAAAGAAATATAAATGAAAGTCCTATAAAAAGAAATAAAACATTTCTTGAAATTTCTTCAGGGAATGTTGTAGACATATTGTGAGGAGCCCTTTAATAGTCAGAGTTATAGTTTTCTAATAGTGGTGATGTTAGTGTTATTGGATGTCACTCTCCCTTCTGCCTTTGGTACTAATACTGTGTATTTGAGGTGGGGCATTCTTGCCGGTGTCTGCTTTAGCTGAGAATTATGCAAGGCTAGCTTTAATATCCCACAATGTAGTGTCATTAATAACAAGCTTCCTTTAGCTCTATACAAGTACCTTGACACTGTGACTCATTTCATTCAAAAAAAAAAAAAACATATAGGATTACCCTTTAAGAGTTAGTTGTGGGACCAGCAGTTAGCATAATGGCTATGTCGCTGGACTCCCATGTAGTCGACTGTGGTTCAAGTCCCGGACCCGGTGACTTAAACTCATGCCGGGCACATGTGCGTGCGTGCCCAAGATCCTGAGAGGAGAATGGAGGAGAAGGGATTGCGGCATGGCCATCCCCCTGGGAGGTGATTTCTTGCTTTCTGCCTCTCTGTCTCTGTCTTTCTGGCAAGCATACGTGCCCTATAGGAAAAAAACCTCTTTTTAAAAAAAAAAAAAGAAAAAAGGAAGAGTTAGTTATAATGATATTTCTATTTTAATAAGTTTATTATATATGTGTTCAATGTGCAATATCTATACTGATTACCTAGACAGACACATTACATGACTCCAGCACATGTGTATAGTTTTAATAAGAAGTAGAGTAGAAAGTCATCTAAAATTATATCTTTGCTATAAATCAGTTTCTATTTTAATTTTTTAGTTCATTTCTTTCACTAGGGATGGCCCCCTCAATAGCGCCTTCATGTTAGCGTCCACCATTTGCACCCAGCATCGGCCTTAGGACATTGAACCAGGACCCATGTGTTCAGCCATGCAAAACAATGCATTACTGCAATAGTAACAGTTGGCCTGCATTTCTCCTTTAGAAATGTGCTTGAGCTTTAGTTATATATAAGTGGACTTTAAATAAAGTTGATGGAAAAATTGGATTAAAGTAAAAGTTTTATCTGGGTTCAGGAAAATTTTAAGGATTGGCCTAGTGGTTAAGGGAGCCATATCCTATGTGGCTGACCATGTAGTTTGAATCCTGGACCTGGTAGCTTGAAAAGCAGACTGGGCACATGTATGGGCATGCCCCAAATCCCCACTGGACAGAAAATGAAAGAGAAGGGATTGTGGTATCATCACATCCCCTTGCGGGGGGTGCTTCTAGTGTAGGTAATCAGATAGATATAAACAGGGAGTCCCAAGATGGCAAGTAAGGGGGCACCTGACACATCCCTCACTGTTACCAGAACGCCTGGTTCCAAGAAAGGAGACGTTATCTACATTTATTGCTTCAACTGTCTTTAAAAGACATAGAAAATGTAACTCTCTTCCCCTCCTGCAGCTGTGCATATGCACACAGGCCTTCTCCTGGGTGCTTGACCAGTGTTTCACCTCCCACTTGTGCTAGACAGATACAGGCAGAATGGGTCCTATGTGCATGCTCATACCTTCACAGTGCACACTGGCCACACATAGGACTTTCCCCGACTGGGCAATAAAATTCTTCTTACCTGGCAAGAAGTACACAAGCGCAACAAATGCCCACACAACCAACCACCAGAGCCAGCTACAGTTCAGACCTCCTGCACTAAATATTCTGAACAAGACCTCCCCCAATAAAAGTAACACCTATCCCCTTTCCAGTGCAGTTGCTGCCTAGCAGCTTACCTGCCTGAAAGCCTCCTGGATGTACTTTCTCGTAAAATCCTTTCATACTTTTCTCATGGTTGTACCTTCACGTGCATCTCAGGACGGGTCTATAACCAACCATAGAGATCTGGACCCAAAGAACCGAATATCCTATCACAGTACTCCCCCTGAAATCCCATCTGATAACACTTTCTCCCCCACCCTGTCTTCTCGCCCCTCCCTCCCTCCATCTGCCTATCTCTCTCTCAGGTGGGCACATGTGTCCTCTGGCAACTTTTTTTTTTTAAGTGCATCTAGCTTAGTGCAGATTTGTTAACTGGTAGTATTTGTTTCTTGGCAGTTTTACAGATACATTTTAGAAGTACAAGTAGAATGTAGAAGTATATCTGAATAATAAGTGTGATACTTAGAGAATAAGAGAAATAGAGAAGGAAAGACAGAAATGGAGACAGGGAGACAAAGAAACCTTTTTGGATTGGACTTTGTAGTTATGCAATACACAGTGCATGTGTGAGCTCTTCAAGTGTTGCAGAAAAACCCCCGTCCCCTGCATAGGAAACTCATACAAGTGACAAGAGCACTGACATTGGTGTCCCATCACCCAAGCTCTGGTCCTGAGCATCTTGGCCACCTGACCTTGTTCTGATCCAGTCTGTGCACTACAGAAAGGTAATCTATCCAGACAACTGTGTATTTTACAGAGTCAGTGAGATGAGTTATATGAGATGCTATAAAAGTACCTTACAAATCTAAATAGAACTTCACCTTATTCTTTGGAGCCCAAGGAGAAACATTTACTCTGCTTTCGTTTACTCTGATAATAGAATGTTAAAATGCCTGAGCACATGCTTAGGGCTGTGGAGCAGTGATTTCCAAAGGTGCGTAGTACTAGAGGACTGCACGTGGGCTCAGACCTGATTAGAAAACACAAAATCTTTCTTTGGTTCCTGTGGGCAAATAATGTGAAGTCTGCCAGTTTGCATTTTTATATAATACACAGGGTTGCTTACTAATAACCTATGAATTCATAAAAACAATATTCTAGCCAGGAATCAGAATGCCTACAGTTCTCGTCTCTGTTGAAAATGTCTACCAGGCTTCTGCTCTCATAGATAACTGGAATTCATGAATTGAATTGGGAGCATGTGTTTTTTCAGTACATAATATTTTGAGTTGATTCTGATTTTTCAAGTACTGCCGTTATTCTTCAGTTATAAGATTCTGTAGTTTTATTTCATCATTATTAAAATTGTTAGTCTTATATGGATAGTGCACTTTCAGCCCATAATTTTTTAATAAGTGTTGCTTAATCAGAGAATTGCACATGTGTAAACTCCCAGATTTTGCTTTCACATTGACGTTTTATTGCTATCACTGAGTTTGTACCCTTAATCTACTAAAATGTGAGAAACTGGTAAAGGCAAGGCATTTGTTCTTAGTGACTGGAAAATGTTCTAAGTGCTCCGGAGAGGTTGTAAAAAGCAGTGTTAACTCTGGCACTTGGCCTCACAGGAGAACTAAAGGTAACATGAAGCAACCAGAAGGGTCGATCCAAGCAGTCAGCTGTATGGGTTGCATGGGAGGTCCTTGTGAACCTGTTCACTCCTGCTAATGAATGATTTGACCCCTTGATCCCTTCTTACTGGCTTTGCTTCTTCATATCAGACTCCTCAGACCCTTGCACAATTGAGAGAAAAGCCCGAAGAATTAGCGTGACCTCCAGAGTACAGGCGGACGTCCATGACACCCAGGCACCAGCTGCAGATGGTTTGTACTTGTGTGTCCAGAGTTTGTGGAGAATGTCCAGGGACTCATGTAGTAGAGTTGTCATAAGTAAAGCCAGATCTTGTTGTTGTTTTGCTTTTAAAAAAAAATTACTCTTTGTACTGTTTCTAAGGCTATTCAGTAGAAATATAATGTGAGTCACATACATGAGGAGACTTCAGAAAACTTGTGGAAAAGTGGAATTAAAATATGTATGTATTTTGGTGCAGAAAAAAAATGGAAATCCATGCATAGTTTTCTTTTCTATGCATAGTTTTTTTAAAATCATACTCGTTTTCCATGAACATTTTGAAGACTCCTGTATAGTTTTCTGATAGCTACAATAAAAAAGTAAAAATAAGGGGTCAGCAGTTGGCATGTTGGTTAAGGCACTGGATTCCCACATGGTTGACAGGTTCGAGTCCCAGACCCAGTGGCTTGAAAGTCACGGTGGGTGAGTGTGCATGTTTACCCAAAATCCCAAGAGGAGAATGGAGGAAAAGTGATTGTGGTGTGGCCACCCCCCCTCTACCCAGGGTGATTTCTCACCTTCCCTCTCACTGTCTCTCTCCAGCTAGAGTATGCACTCTATGGGAAAAAACTTTTTTTAAAAAAAAATTAAAATACAAATGAAATTAATACAATGTACGGTATACAAAATATTTTCAGTCAAAATCAGTATAAATGATTAGTGAGATATATTGCATTATTTATTTTATACTAAATCTTAGAAATCTTGTGTGTATTTTATACCTACAACACATCTCAGTTTGAACTGCCCACATTTTAGTGGCTACTGTATTGAACAGATCAGTTTATAATAATATTTTGAAAACAAGCTCAAATAAGTAATTTTTAAAATGACTCCAAACCTCTGAATTTTATAACCTCTCATTGAAGTTTTCTAGTGCTCCTTGAACTTTAGTCTGGCATTCGGTTGAAATGAGGTTTCTAAGGATATCCTGTATGTTTGAGTTTGTGCAAGTATTCTACTTGATATTTCCTAAATTCTCCATGTACAAAGACAATTGTATAATTTGGTGGAAAGGTCTCATTCTATGAACAGGAAACTACCTTATTCTTCAGATACTTAAAAAACCCAACCTTTTAGCCTTTACCATTGACATAGTTTCCATTTTTTGAAAGAATACTTATGAATTTATATTTAATTTTAAAATTTGTGTAGAAACTACATTGAATTTTTAAGAATTTAGTTGCATCCTTTTGAGCAACTTGTATTCCTTATTCTGATTACTGTATGATATACATGGTAATGATTAAAACAACAATATATCAGTAATCTGATATTTGTGAGGCTTATTTTTATGTAAAATTAACCTAAATACCTTAAAAATAATATTAAAGGAGAAACCTACTCACTTAAGTTATTCATATATGAATATGTATATTCTTGAGTGGTTTTTACACATGATCTAAAATATTTTAAGTTTTTAAATATGCCATAAAAAAAGATCACACACCTGTACATCAAATGAGAACAGACTTCTAAAATGCTTTTTGCATTTTAGAAGCTTCTATTTAAATGATGTTTCTTTATGATGAAATGAGCAGTATCTTTTTTTAGGAAACAATATAATTCTAATTTAGATGCTTTTTAAATATATTTTTTGGTAATTTATTTCAGAGTGATTTATTATTTTAAATTGTCAGCATCCTCAAGAATCCTGGATTTGTAAGGTTAAAAGAAGTTTTCCAGTTATTTGTGTATTTTAGAAAAAGAGTTTAAGAGGCCAGCAGGTGGAGTGGTGGCTAAAGCATTGGACTCCCACATGGCCGACCCCGGTTTAAGTCCTGGACTCCACAGCTTGAAACTCATACTGGGCATGTGCGCCCAAGATCTTGGAGGAGAATGAAGGAAAGGGATTGGTGGCATGTCCCCCTGGGGGGTAGTTTCTCACTTTCCTTCTCACTGTCTCTGTCTCTCCAGCGAATGCAAGTACCTTTATGGCAAAAACCTTTAAATAAAAAGAAAAAAAGAAAGAAAAAAAGTTTGAAAAACCTTTGTATATAAAACATTTGTACCACCACAATAAAGTTGAAGACTATATTTGAAATGAACATAGGAAGATGAAATATAATAGTTTAAGAGTTTAATATCTTAAATTTTCTCTGTAATAATTCTTCATGAAATACTTATCTGACCCAGAACAGGTTAAAATTCTGAGTTTCTAGAGCCTATTAAAAACCAACAGCAGTAAGATTTTTTTTAATGTTATGCTTTTAGGTATATTGTTCTTTTAAAAGGTAAAAAGCTATATGAGAGAGGATCTTTTCTGGAAATGGCATCGTAAACATTTTCTCTCTAACAGAAAGTTTGAAGAAAAAGCTTGATCAAAAAAGCTTGTAGGAAAATGAAATTAAAGTTTATTTTGGTTTTTTAAAAAAACTGAAATCCAGTATAGGTTTTATTCTTGCATATGAGTGAAAAAACTGTATTAACTCTACATGTTTCAGAGTCACGAGCCAAAAGACACAAGGTGGGTTTTATAAGGCAGTTAAAAAGCAGCAGCTGAAGCAAGAAAAGCAAGCCCATCGTGTCTGTAGTCATTGGGAGAGGCTGAAGAACCCAGAAATTTTCTGTGTATTCTGAGGCTAAGATCATTTTCCTGATTGAGACTGAGCCTTATCATTACCTTAGGGTAATGTTCAGGGTCTAAAAATCAGTTCTCTTCACCTCTTGAGGAAATGTTCACATTAGCCATTTATCATTAAAGACAGATGGAAAAATCTGAAGTCAGCTAATTAATTTTCCATAGAAGATATGCTTAATTCAGAATAGTGACTGATATACCTTCCCCAGCTGTCAGTTTCTTTTGTTACCTATTTAGGAAAGTTGCTTACCTGATGTCTTAATCTCATTTCTAGTTCATAGTGAAAGTTTCCAGGTTTATAAGTGGATTATTCCTGATTTCTGACCTTGCCACAGGGTGACTTCCACCAGGGGATCATTTTAAGTCTCTGTCCAGTGACCACATTCTCGACAGGGACTCTTTCTAAAAGGCCAGATTTACAAATTAACTCTAGAAACAAAGAGCCATTTTGAGCATAAGACCAGAAAGGATAAAGACCTACAAGGAATACAAGATAAGGTTTTAGTCTTTTGTTACTTCCCGGGAACCAACATAAGGTTGCTAGTATTCGATATTACCAGACATAGGCATTTTTAACACTAATATAATGAAGGACATTTTCATGAAGGAATGCACACAGATGTTTACTATAGTATGGACGGTACCATAGAGAAGAAAAGTCAAGATGGGCTGAAGTTGTCAGGGAAAACTTAGGGAGGAGATAGAATTGATTTAACATACTTATCAAACATTTCTCATTTTTTTCATTTAGCCGTGTTAAAGCCTAATAACCCACTGTCTGTAGGTAATGAACTAGGGAGGCAAAGTGTTCTGGACTTCTGCCCATCTTATCCTAACACACACACACACACACACACACACACACACAGAGAGAGAGAAAAGTAAATTGTTTAGGACAAAGTGGAATATATGTCTATCAGACTTTCTTTACAGTTTATGCATTTCCAGCAAATATGTTTAGTAATTGGCTTACACATTAGGTAAGGTAGGAATTGACCACACTGGCTTTCATGGTAATTTTTCATTTCATTTTGTGGCTTATACTTGGGAAACATTTAATATATATATTTTTTTTCCATCCCTCTCTCCCCTTTAATCCTAACTTCCCTCAGAGCATGTAACTGGCTCCAAACAGAGTCCTCGAACGCAACCTCGAGACGAAGACTATGAGGGAGCCCCATGGAATTGCGACAGCTGCACCTTTCTGAACCACCCAGCACTCAATCGCTGTGAGCAGTGCGAGATGCCGCGATACACTTGAATTCAGAGGAGTGTGCACCGGGTTGAGAGGGAAACTTCGAGCACCCACCAGAAGAAAGGGAACCTGGGGAATCTAGTCATCACCCAGCCTTTTCATTTCCGATTGCATGGGGGGAGGAGGAATGGCACTGTGGCCGCTGTGACCATGTGAGGAAACACGGGGAGGGTTGGTTGGTTGGTTGGTTTTTTTTTTTCCTTTCGTAACTCATTGCAGAGTGAGAGATAAAAGGAATACTTGAAACTGGGAAAGGATTCACTCCTGAAAGAATGTACACAGAGAAGTCAGGCGCTCTCCTGTGGAATCCCAATTGTTCAAGTTACTGCTGAGTCGCCCTTATTTTTTAAAATAGAGCTTTGAATCCTGGTGTGGAATGTTACAGTTTATGCTGACAAACTGTGAATTCCCAGAGCAGACATACCTGGTCACAGTTCTTGGGAAAAACCAAGGCTCCCTTCCCGTGCTTCTTTCTGTTGCTTCCTACTGAAGGAAGAGGACAGGAAAAAGCACCCCAAATAATGATTTGGGGGGGGGCAAGATAATAAGGGTATTTGTAATTGCTGCTTTTTTCAGGGGTAATTTCAAACACACGTACACATTACACAAACAAGATGTTTTAAAATGTGATTTGTAGCAGTCAGGAATTAGGCATTCATGCCCATTATTTGAAAGTACAATCAGAGATGGATGATTCTTTTGGCTTGTACAATGGTTCATCAAGCCGTATCAACACTGGTAACTAAGACCCAATTATGTCACATAAGAGATATATTTTTTAAGTTACTGCATGCTTTTATTAGGCCATCGGTTTTAAAAATAACAAGTCCTTGCAAACAATGATTTTACAAATGACATTCTCATAAAACTGCGCTTTGCCAATGGCACAGTGAATGTATGCCAGATGCAAGTCCATTCCAAACCCCATTTGGAAACCTTGAGCTCAACTGTGGTTCTTAAGCAATGTCTGCAGTCCATAGGGCCTCCCCCCATGTTGTGATGAATTCATGATGTTTACAGCACAGGTAATACTTTGTGCCATAATCCTAATTTAGCTGAAAAAAAAAATCAATACTAGCTGTTCAATAAAGATCTATTTGCACATGTGATGATAAACCACTGTGAGGGAAATTACAGTTGGCCGGTATAAAGTTGCATACTATATTAGTTGGGGAGTAAGGGACAGATTGTCAAGAAACATTTTTAAGAGAAAGAGTGAACTTTGAGACAAACAGTTTTATAAAATTAACATTACTGTATTCAGAGATTATATTGCGTTCATTCAGGCAATTTAGGTGATATGAACGCGCTCCTTGTGAAACAACTTCAGAGCATGGATAACTGAAGAGGTACAAAACCATGTGACTCACTAGGGTACATCACTGGAAAATGAATAATAGCAGATTTAATTAAAGTCTCTGCCATTGTTGAACTTCCTTAGCTCAGAATTGGAGTTTGGAATCTCCCCTCATTTTGGTGAATATAATAAACAGCAATAAAGTTGATAGGTTTTCCCATCCTAAAGGATTTTTACCAGAGGTTGTACCTTGGGAATATCCACTCTCCCTTACCAGGTGCCCCCTCCCTGCCACACACACACACACACACACACCCTTCATGCTGTCATTTATATGCTAATTTTGCAGTAGTTTCAGGCAGACCTGGAAAAACAAGCTGCACTTAGTAGCATAATGAAACCAAAGGCATAATAACTTGTCAGTTTTCCATCAAAATCATAGTTTCACACTCTGCCTACAGCTTTGAAAACATGTTTTTTATATGTGGAAAATTCCCTAATATATATCCACTTGTCTCCCAAAGTAAGCATGGTTATGTCATTACACTGTTAAAACATCTCTCGTATACCACTGTGGCAAAACTGTGAAAATAATGGTGAAAAAGCAGATGGGCTTAAAAATGGACCTGAGAACAGCATTCTTTCAAGGCTTTTGTAACACTGGTCTCTGTCAGTCTCTAATAAAAGTCGAGCAGTCCTACTGTTCTGTAATATGCCTTTGCCTTTGTATGGTTTCATATCTCTTTAGTGATGGTGTACCCTACTTGGTTTTAAGTAAAATTGAGGGAGAAAATATATATATACTGCTTGGTGTTCTAGCTAAAAAGGTTTCCCAGTATTCATAGTGATGTTCCGAAGTGGCGGCAATTAACTTGGCAGTTGTCAGTTGAGAATGAAAGTAGCATGTCTGAAAACAGTCTGATGCTTTATTAAAACCATGTAGATGACTTTAAAACTATTGCATGAAAATACATCAAGGTTAATAAGCTGTTGTCATACAGTAGATGCATGGTTTCAGTCTTTTGGTGATATATCTAGTCAATCATTGTTTTCACCTGCCAGGAAGAATGAGAAAACAGTCTGTTGGAAAGGTATGGAGGATGGGGTATGAGACATCAGAGACTGATTTCAAGGAAGTTTGTACTCATTTTTAATCGTGCACAAATTGCAATATGCCAACGTAGGCTTTATTTCATTTTTAAAATAAGCTAAATGATCTGACGCTGTTGAATCTGATAGACTTAACTGTGTCCCATATACGGACTACTACTCGTCTGTTTAAACACCGTGTCCCATATGCAGACTACTTATCTGTTTGAACAAGAAGGCACCCGACTTTCAGGGTGCCTTTCCCAAAGAATCTAGTCAGATTGGTACAGACAGACAATTGGCATGTGAGTGATAGACTGAAAATTGGATGGTGCCCGGCTGCTGAGGTGCCTGTGCGCTTTGGGTCAGTTGGTACACTTCTTGTTTATTGTCAGAGAGTTTCTTAAAATACAGCTAGTTGGGTATATCTGGTAATAAATAGACCTGGCTATACATTTTCCATGGTTTTGCTGTTTTGTAAACTGGGTTTTTAGAAAGCACGTTTGCCATCCTGTTAAAGTACATTACCCCTTAAACTTTGGAGTGGTTCTTAAAAGTTTAAAGTGGTAATAGAGGAGTCAGAAACTCTCCAAACATTGTAAAATGTTTGGAATTCATATTGAACTTGTTTGAAATAAATAGACCTGGCTATACATTTTCCATGGTTTTGCTGTTTTGTAAACTGGGTTTTTAGAAAGCACGTTTGCCATCCTGTTAAAGTACATTACCCCTTAAACTTTGGAGTGGTTCTTAAAAGTTTAAAGTGGTAATAGAGGAGTCAGAAACTCTCCAAACATTGTAAAATGTTTGGAATTCATATTGAACTTGTTTGAGAGAAAGGAGAGGCGGGGGGTGGGGGGTAAAGAAATGAAAGAAATGCATTGTAAAAATGTAGTTTTAGAGCAGATTAATGATGGTGGGGAAAGTGTTGCTAATTTGTTTATTTCCCTGAAAGCAGTGGGAAGTGTGATAAGCAGTTTAATTTTTAAGGAGCTGGTCTCAATTTTAGTACTTTTTAATTATTAAAAGAAATCAATGTTTCCTTAAATTTTGTTATTGCCTTGTCACAGTTATCTAGGGTTCATATCCAACTTCCTGTGGCAACTCAGTTTATATAGTCTTTTAAAAGGCAATTGCAGTGTCTTTCTGAAAGTATAAACAAAGAGAAAGACTGACTATAAGGCATAGAAGAATTGTCCTTTAAAAATATCAATGATGTATCCTGGAATGTGAAGATGTCCCTTTATAGTTAAAAACTGAATTATTTTAATATCGTATCATTGTTAGACCTTGAATGAGTCCATGTTACAGTGTGTGTCTGTATATCTGTAGAGAAAGAAAAAATGACAATTGAAATGTTACCTTAAAAAAAATCAGAATAAATCGGGCACTGTCTGTGTTGCACCACTACTGTATCTATTTGAAAGAATTAACAGTATTTTCCTGTTGTAAAAGTTAATTCTGATGATGTTTTCACATTCACCAGACATGATCCCTTTTTGTTCCTGTATTATTTGCATCCCCAAATATTTAATACAAGTAGACTTTGCATGGCTTGGGCATTCAGAGATTAATAGATGATGACTCAATTTTAATTTCTAAAGCCATGGAAAGTTGCTTTGAGACTGAACAATTCTGAATTCTTATTTATAATGACGCCCAATGTCCATGATTCTTGCCCTACTGTAAAAGAATTGATCAGTTTCTTCATTAAAGCAGCAAGAACTTATTAAATCTTGTAAATACCATGTCTCTTAGATTTCTGTGTATGCTGTGAATGAAATTATTTTGAGATGAAATTGTACAAAGGCATCTTACAAGGCTATGCATGCAACGTACCTCCAAACAGTACATATTCGGAAAGTCAAAGATTCCTGCAAAATAAATTAATAAACTAAAAGCAAACACTACATTCTGCATCTTTTCTGTGTAGTTGGAAATAACTTACAGTATCAAACTAATTCTAGTTCCAACAGTCATATTCCTGTCTCTCAAACCTAATTGTTCATCTGACTTCTCTTTGTTATCGGATTGTCTGGAAAGCCATGACATATTTTTTTGCGTAGAAAAATGTGTCATGACTTTCCCAGTAGCCTAATATAACATGTACCAAGTTAGATTTGGGAAAGTAAGTGCACATTATTCTCATTAAAAAACATGGTAAAAACATAGATAAGGGGGGACCAGCAGTTAGCGTAATGACTATGTTGCTGGACTCCCATGTAGCCGATCATGGTTCGAGTCCTGGACCCGGTGGCTTAAAATCACGCCAGGCATGTGTGCGTGCGTGCCCAAGATCCCGAGAGGAGAATGGAGGAGAAGGGATTGTGGTGTGGCCATCCCCCATGGGGGGTGATTCCTCCCTTTCTGTCTCTCTGTCTCTCTCTCTCTGGCAAGCGCACACGCCCTATAGGAAAAACCTCTCCAAAAAAATAAAATAAAATAAAAAATAAAAAAAATACATACATAGGTTTTATATAAAAGTTGGAATATGTTAAGAACTGACATTTTCATTCTACTTCAATATCTTATTTAGAAAAGAGTTAATAATTGTCCTTTTTAAAAAAAAAATCTCTGTGATGTGTACCTAATCTTTTCTTACCTTTTTTGTTATTGCCAGAGGGCACTGTACTCACCAGAGAGAGAGCGAGCGAGCGAGCGAGAGGGACCAGAGAAAGTACCCCAAATGGAGTGTGGTCATGGCACAATCCCTTTTCTTCTGTTTTTCTTTCCCACCAAGATTTTACACATGCACACCTGTCCAGCATGTTCTTCAAGCCACCAGGGCTGAAATTTGAAACACAGTTGGCAGTGTAGGATCCAGCTCCAAGTGCACTGCACTTAGGCATTTAACCACTGTGCTAGGGTGGGCCCAGCTCTGTAGCCAGTTTTTTATAGGCAAATAATCACATCCATGTTTTTTAAGCCACCAGGCCTAAGATTTGAACCAGGGTCAGCCCTGAGTTTCCATGCACAGCACTTTATGGCTACACTATGAGGCAACCTATTAGTTTCCTTTAAAAATTTGGTTCTTAATCAGAGAGACAAAGGTACCCTTAAGAGGGTCTCATGCTGCCACCCTCTCTCCAGCCTTTCAGCCAGATGGAATCGCATGTACATAAACCGAGCATGTACAGGTCAACCTGGGAACCAATCCCTAACCTTTACATGACTTCTGGCATTGCATAGTGGCATGCTACTGCTGCACCACTGTGGCTGGAATACAGAAGACCTAGTATTGGGTACTGGCCATTGGTGTACCAGTAGACTGCAATGTCCTGAGGCTGATCCTGAGAGACAGCACTCCCTGAGTATGCTAAACATGTGAGTGAGGGTGAGCTGGGGCTGGCTGAATCTGGGGGTGGATCGTGTCAAGACCTCATTAGGTCTTTCATGAAAGAAGATTAAAATCTAGCATTAGATTTCCCCATCATAATTTTTTTTTCTTTTACAACCTTGTTCAAATTACAGTAGACATAGAATACTTGATTGTGTCTCTTAAGCCTTTGGTCAGTGTACATATATCTGCATTCTTATATTCTCTCCTCCCTCAAACCTAAGTTATTTATTAATTGGAATATTTTATAAGGAAAGTTCTTCAACTATTTAGCTACCCGTCAACCACACCTTACAGTTAAATAATAACATAGAATAGTAAAGGCAACTTAACTGCCTGTGGGCGGCGGGGGGAGCAGCAGATGGCATAGCGGTTACTGGAATCCCACATGGCTAACCATGGTTCAAGTCACAGACCCAGTGCCTTCTAAATCACATTGGGCACGTGTGAGTGTGTGCCCAAGATCCCAGGAGAATGGAGGAGAAGTGATTGCAGTATGACCATCCCTCCTGTTGGGGTGATTTCTCACTTACCCTCTCGCTGTCTCTGTCTCTCTCTGGCAACCACATGTGGCCTAAGGCAAAAATGTCTTTTAAAAAATGGTGTGTGAAGTATTTTCTTATTTCCCTCCTATTATCTTCTGTATTATGAATTGTCCCTTTTAAACAATTGATTTGTAAAAAGAAAATTCCAATCTGCTTACTGCAGTGATGGATCATTACGGTGCTTATGTTTGTAGAGACATTTGTGAAAGCAACGTGGTCTGTCATTACAGTATTTGTATGTTGATTACTCTTTAGGTATTTACAAGCTCAGTCTTAATACAGAAGACAGGGACAGTTGTATGGGAGATAGCCCAGTGTTTGTCTCCCACTTGGATTCCTCTAAAGACTCCATGACTTGACTTTGTCCTGGTGGCCTTTTTGAGGACATTGACCAGGTCATATTTTATGATAGGGATTTCAAGGATATTAATAGGATAATTAATATGTGGGTGAGATTTTGTTTTACAAGTTCCAGATTCTCAGAGCAGTCAAACCATCTCACTCATCCTGCCTCTTTCCAACACGTTATGATCAAGTGATTTCCAACCAAGAAAAATAAAACTAGAGAATAAAAGTAGAAAGTGTTTTGCTTTCTTTCCTTTTTACCAGATAATTAAACATAGCAAGCAGTGTGACCCACATGAGATTTTTTTAATAAACTCTTTAAAATGAGTGAAAATATGGAAAGACATAGCATTCTGGGGGGGGGACACCTCTTTCTACAAAATCAGAACAGAAAATTATACTCTGTGATTTTAATTGTAAACAAAATTTACAAGACTGTCTGAAAAAAAAGGACTAATCAGATCAAGAAAGATTCCTTTCAGATGAAAATTAATTTTGACTAAATTCTAAAATAGAAATACAGGTAGTAGAGTTCAGAAAACTGGGTCAATAGAGGAATTCTAGAATTCAGAGACAGGATAGAGATGGAGAACTGGCACATAACAAATGTGAATTCAGGATCCAAAACATGCAATATGGAGTGTCAGCAGATAGGAGAGAAGCAACAAAGAGACAAACACAGTGGGAGGGTTGAAAAAATATTATCTATGAAGATAAACATTAAATAAAGGAGGGGCCAGACTGGCACAGTGGTAATATCACAACTGGACTCACGGGAAGGTCACAGGTTTACATCCTGAGGTCTCCCTGTACACACGGATTGTGCAGTGCATGTCCATGGTCTGGGCTGGCTACGGGGAGATTGTGGTGTAAAGACCCTATCAGGGATTCCTCTGTGTGTGTGTATGTGTGTCTGTCTGTCTTAGAATAAATAAAATTTAAACATAAAGGTGACATTAGAATATTCCTAAATCTTTGGCAGCCAACAGGTGATGTGGTGGTTAAGGTGCTGGACTCCCACATGACTGACCATGGTTTAAGTCCCAGACCTGGAGGCTTGCTTTCTCACTTTTTCTCTCCTCTCTCTCTCTCCTGTGTGTGTGTGTGTGTGAGAGAGAGAGAGAGACAGAGACTTGCTTTGGTCAAATTAAAAATAACAGTAATATTAATATAAAATAAAGGAAATAATTCTTAAGAAAAAGAATATCCCTAAATCTTTATGTAAAACTAGAACACATCTGTCTGATGAACATGTCTGTCTAACTTTGGCATGCAAAATGGACAAAGCAAATAGTGAATATTATGATCAGCTTGGTTAAATCTCCATATAATAAAACTTGGTAACTCATAGGAACTAAACGTGCTTTCAAATGTCTATCAAGCATTCCCTTCCCCCACACACAAAAAAAAAATCAGGAAAACCTCAATTTTTTTTTTGCTTTTTTTTTTTTTTGAGAGATTTTCACTGTAGGGCGCGTGCACTCGCCAGACAGACAGAGACATAGAGACAGAAAGCGAGAAATCACCCCCCAGGGGTGATGGTCACGCCGCAATCCCTTCTCCTCCATTCTCCTCTCGGGATCTTGGGCACGCACGCACACACGCGCCCGGCGTGAGTTTTAAGCCACCGGGTCCGGGACACGAACTGCGGTCAACTACGTGGGAGTCCAGCGACATAGCCATTACGCTAACTGCTGGTTCCCAATTTTTTTAAACAGAATTATACAGGCCACATTTTTCTGACCGTAAGACATTAAAATGTACTAAACTTGAGCAGCCTGAAAACTTTAAATCTTCTAAATAACTCCTGATTTTAAAAATGATATCAAACATAATTAAAGTCCGATTCAGTTCAAGCAAACCCTTAACAACAGGCTTTCGTAAAAACCTGATCTCTAACTCCCAGAAAACAGCGCAGAAGAAGAGTACAATAGTGATACTTCAGAAAATGAAAATGTTGAATTATTTCTAGATGCAAATATATTGTTCACCTGTAACAGATCAAGATGCACAAAGAAATGGTAATTCAGAACTAAAGTTGATGTCACTTGTGGGAAATAGACTTCCAACATGAGATCTCTCTCTACGAACTCTTTTAATAGTGAAATGGAAATGTAGAAAAATCAGTCCAACTGGAGTCTGAAAGAACACTCTTGTGTCTCACATGATCAGGGTCAACAACCCTTAAAACTGAAGAGCTCTCAGGGAGAGCTCGTTCAGAAGTATCCCGAGGCCAAGCTGATGTTTGGGAAAGTGTTTTTAGAAGCCAGCAAACGGAGAAGGCACCTGAAGATACATAAAGGACTCAAACTGCATCTGCCACGTGTGTAGATAGTTATCCAGTATAACCAGCTAAAAATTCATGTGAGAACTCGTTCAGGTGAGAAGGTATACAGGTAGGAATTCTGTAATAGACGTTTTGCTCTAACATGCCAGCTACTTACCCATAGTAGCACACTTCACAGTGAAAAACAACAGAAAAAATAACATTTTGAAACTTCTAGTAATCTCATATGTCACACCATGAGAAGATATCTGTCGTCTCTAGGTCTCTCGTCATGCATAATTGAAATACAAGGAGAAACTATACAAAGGTGGTTAACTGGGAAAACATTCTCTCAGGAGAGGCCAACAAACACTTTGAGTCCTATCAGTGAACAAAAACCATTTATTGGCCGCCCCCATAGACCACTGTGCCTAC